AATGTGCTGTTATAAAGCTGATCTCTGGGCACTTACAGCAATCCCTTGCAGGTACAAATGTCTTACTTTTAGAATCAACTTCCTATGCATTTTCTTGTTTGATCCATAGTAGCTTCTTGGTTCTTAGTCCAGTGCTTTCTCTGCTCTAAGGTGACAGATGGAACCTATTAAAGCCTGCTGGACTTTCTCTCTTCTAAAGCCCCCATTAGTTTTTAAGTGCAGGTTTTGGGAGCATTAATAATCTCAAAGAGCAGACATCTCAAGGTCTTTCTCTTTAGCTTTGGAATGTGTGAGGATTATATATACTAGGTGTGTTCACCATTGGCTGATATAAAAATGAGGCTGTGAGCTTAGGGCAGACATAACTAGTGTGGGGGAAAGATAACCTAGAGTTACAGAGGTCCACCAGGTGAGGCCTATCTAAAACGGAAATGTTTCTTTGCCTGAATTAGATAACAGATTGCTGAGAATGTTAAATGCTGATGTCGCTCAACACGGCAGAACATGGTAGGTGCATAATGGCATTAAAGATCACTTTTTTCCTGGGGGCTGGCCCGGTGGCGCACTGCGCTAGTGCGCCACTTGGGAAGTGCGGCTGCGCTCCCGCCGAGGTTCCTGTGCATCCTTAAAAACCAGCATTTTCAACTATTCCGTGAGCTTCAAAAACAGGAAACTGATGCTTCAGTGTTCTAGTCATACTTTCTCAGCCACTTAGTTTATCTAAATTATCTGGGACCAGGTATTTTCCTCTAAGGCCACATGGATCCGTGGTTCTTCTCCCTGTCTGGAGACTTTGTGGAGATGTTGTTTGTTTTCCCTTATCTTAATCATTATTCAATTGATTGGCTGTTCTATCTAGAATTGTAAATCATTCTGGACCAGTTTAGAAGTGTTGACAATGCATTTCACAGCAAGATGGAACTGAACCAAACTTTCTAGCTCTGAAGATCAGCAACCATTGGGCAACCCTGGTTTTCTTTAAAAATTTTCCTCTGCTCATTGCAAAAATGGACATACTTGATGCTCAGAAGGATCACATTAAGGTGTGCTATGAGTTAGAAGACCCTCTCCCACCCTCTTCATGCTGTTCACTGTGTCAGAATGAAGGCCCAGGTCACTATCTCAGGATTTTGATTTATGAAGATTTCAGGAGTGGCTATGGTGGCACAGACCAGGAGACCTCCCTAATCTTTTCCACTTTCTCCCCTGAGCATCTGCCTTTCTCCATCATCCATAGATCGGTCTGATTTAGGTTGAACTACCGTATGTTCACTGTCTTTCCAGAACCCATTAGGCAAAGTCCTCTGGTGGCATTGTTATTGGTCTGAGGCTGATAGGACTAATTATTCTGATTATCTTGGCATCCGGCAAACGGGCAATTTTATTTTGTATTTATTTATTCATCAAAGCCTCTTTCCAAAAGAGATTTAAAGTGGTTTATAAAAATGCATAACATGCAGCAAGATAAATTAAAAATGAGGAATGAGATTTGAGCAAAGGGAGAGTACAGGTAGGCAGATGATAATAGTGAGCTGGGAGCAAAATTGGTTCACATGACTTTTATTTTGCAACTTAAATTCATGCTAGAGGTAATGGTCCTTGGTGGGTGCAGACTCCTCATTAGCCCTGAGCATCTTTTCCACCCTCCCATCCCAGCAGGTAAGACATGCTGAATAAAGGTGATGCTACAAAAAGGAGAACATGTGCTGTGTTTCCAATGCAGAATTGGGGTCATTTGCCAAAATCTCTATTTAATTTATGTTACCCTCTTCCTTGCTCAAGTGTACAAGGGTAATGCATGTAAAGCCACGAGAAAAGTCCTGGGCATAAAAAGGTGCTCAGTGCCTGGTAATCTTCACTATTGCCATACTAATGAGCAATGGGCCAGTGGTTCAAATCCCTGCCTAGTGGTTTACTTAAGCCAAGTTACTTGATCTCTGCAAGCTCCTGTTTCCAGGTTTATAAATAGGAATAATAAGAATACATCCTGTGTTGGGGTATTGTGAGAAGTAAATGAGGCAGTTCATATAAAATACCTAGGACAGTATTTAACACACAATGAGCACTCTCAATGTCATCCATTATTGTTAATAGATATTCTTTTCCTCTCCCATGGAACTTTTAAGAGGAAAAGAGAAACCATTATGTTATAAAAGAAGATGCAGGTTTTGAGGTCTTTTAGTGTGGTCTTCTCATGTGAAGACACAGACCAGAGATGGGAGATACTTGATTTAGTGGCAGAATCCGAACTTGAATTCAGGCCTCCAGGTGTTGTTTCCAGGCTTCCTGTCACTTACTCTCTCTAGCTCATCACCATCAACTGCCAACCCCCTGTAGAAAAATAGCTCCCTCCTCCCCACACGTAGCAGAGACCTAAAAGTGTCTTTTAGGACAGTGGTGAAATAAAGTAGGTCTCCTAACTTGTGCCTCCGCAGCTAGGGCTGCCTGAAGCTGAGCTATGGAGTCCCACTTTCTGGGCCAAAGTGATGCGCAATGGTGTAGGTTAGCAGAAAGCACAGTGAATTTGGAGCTAGAAGCCCCATGCATTTATTAACTTTGCGGTTTCGGGAAAATGGCTTACCCACTTGAGCCTTATTTTACTCAGCAGTAAAGTAGGGATAAATTGAAATTCTGAATGACTGAAAAACCTAGTGGTTGAAAAATCATTTTTGTAACAATGTCCTGTATTGCATGTTTACTCTGTACTAGGCACAGAGCATGTCGTTTCCTGAATTACATCTTCCACTTGTCACGGCACAGTAATACCATTGTTGCTATTGCATGGATGTCGAAACTGAGACTCTAGAGGTCAAGTAACTTGTCCTAGGTCACACAAATAGAAATGACTGAGTCCAGGTTTGGAACAAGACCTGTGTGTCTTCAGGGCTCATATTTTTAGCGACGTTGCTATATTTCCGGGACTCCAGCCTTACCTTTAAGCTGGATGATCTTAGGCTAATCATTGAGCTTCCAGTGCCTTAGGGGCTTCTCTCTGTTACTTGGAGGCTAACCACTTCTGAACAAAGTTGTCTTGAAAGTGTCTCATATGTATCTGGAAAACTGTTTTTTATTTTTCTTTTTTCTTTTTGGTGGCTGGCCAGTACAGGAATCTAACTCTGGACTTTCATGTTATCAGTACCATGCTGTAACCAACTGAGCTAACTGGCTAGTTCAAACTTTGAATATTTTGTAATGAGAGCAGGTTGGCTCATTGTTGGTGATTTATGTCTTTATTTTCTATTATTTGTGGATAAATTACGCATGAAAATAAATGTGAATAGTTACGTGATTCTCAGCAATTCTGCTAAATTGTTGCCTTTTCAATGAGTCTTTTTGATGGTTCTCTTTAAATACCCTTCTCCTTACTTTGAAACTCCTAATTCCCCACATTTGGTAGCATTTTTTTCCACATAGCACTTTTCATTTTCTATCATTGTAGAAACTATATTTTTTGTATTTAAACACATATATCGTATATGCCTGGCTTTGCTAGAATGACCTCTCCATGTGGGAAGGGATCTTTGCCTATTTTTTTTCCGAAGAGCCTAGTACATGGCAAGTTCTCTGTAGATTTTTATTGAATAAATAAGTAAATATAGCTCTTTTCTCCCTTTTGTCAGGATGATTTGTGTGAACCCCTCTTAAGTACACAGCAAGTCATTGTTTTGGGAGAAGATTAGGATAAGATTTGTCCCTAAGTACAGAAAAAACAACCTAAATATGTGTACTATTAAGAATTCAGTGGGGAAAAACCACCAAATGCTGACCTTTATTCCATCATTAGATCAACTTTTGCCAAACATTGATCAAAGTTTTATTTTATTATTTAGCTGAAGTCCTATGAGATCTTTCTCAAATTCAGCTTTGTGTCAAGGATGGAAAGAGGACAAGAAAAATCTCCTTTAAAGTCCACATTCAGTATTTTCATTACCCCAAATTATCAGCATTCAAAGGCAAAGAGACAGGATTGTCCAAACACCTGGCAAGAACCCCATCTGCATTAGAATTCTAAACACAGTGCGATGTTTTTGTCCCTCAATGAGCTTTGCAGGCTAATTCTGGAATGGCTTGATTCATGTATCTGACTGATTGATAATCTGGCATTAAAAAAATGGGACAGGTCCTTTGGAATAAGAGGAGAACTGGAAAGCAGGCCATGCTGCTTGGCAGAAACAGGAAGAAGTGACTTGGCAGGTGACAGGCTGCAGAGGTTTTAACAGGCTTGCTCTTTGGGGTAAACTGTCTAGCATTTAAATCTACTGTGCTCTTATGTTCATCAAAAACAACCCAAAGAAAGTAGAATTGACGCTGGAACTCCAGGGGGCTGTGGACTTGGAGATAAGATGATTCCACAGTGCATATAAACTTAGGAGCATGTCACTCACATTATCCCAGAATTTAGAATTTAGGAAAAATAATTCTAAATGTGTGAGTCAGACCATGTGCCATGCACAGTGTGCAAATTATGTCCTTCTCAATAATATTGTGACTTTGGCATTGTGATCCCCATTTAACTAAGAAGGAAGCTGAGGTTCAGAAAGGTTAATTAACTTGCTCAAGGTCTTAAGGGATTTAAGTACACATGTGATTTCAAAGCCTATGTCCTTAATACTATACAGTAGGGTTTCTCCAACAAAGTGTTTTCTGGCTCCACATGAAGCTGATATAGGTTTCTGGTTTGGGACCTGTCAGATGTTTGGGTGCCTAAGGCATTGAGCTCTAGCCCTGGCTTTTTCTGCTTACTATCTATGAAATCCTGCACTGGTCACTTCAGCTCTTCGACTTTTATGTTCTTCTTTCAAAAGTGGGATCAACAATATATATTTTCAAGGATTTCTGAAGTATCAAGTGAAATAAAGTTTTTGAAAAATGTAAAGTGCTTTATAAATCTAAAAGATTTTTTTAATCATTAGTAAGCAATGATCAAGTCAATACACAGTCACATTAACTTATATTCAATGAAACTTTATTTTTTTATTCCAGCGGATTACCTTGGCTTCATGGCAGAGAATGACACTGTGGTGACGGGATTTGTTCTGATGGGGTTCCAGCTGCAGGCAGAGCTGCAGACAGGTCTCTTCTTTGTGTTCCTGGTCCTTTATCTCATCATCATGGGGGGCAACCTGGGCATGATAGGGCTAATTCAGAGTGACCCTCGGCTCCAGACTCCCATGTACTTCTTCCTCAGCCACCTTTCCTTCCTGGACATTTGCTACTCTTCTGTTATTGTCCCTCAGTTGCTCGAGACCTTGTGGACTGATGAAATGGTCATCACCTATGGGCAATGTGTGACACAGTTCTTCTTTTTCACACTCTGTGCTAGCACTGAATGCTTCCTTTTGGCAGCGATGGCCTATGACCGCTATGAGGCTGTGTGTAATCCCCTCCTCTATGCCACAGCCATGACACCACGGACCCTTCTGGGGCTGGTGGCTGGGGCATATGCTGGTGCCATGGTCAATTCTGTGATCCGCACTGGGTGTACCTTCTCGATTTCCTTCTGTAAGTCCAACCATGTGGACTTCTTCTTTTGTGACCTCCCACCCCTGCTAAAGCTTGCCTGTACTGAGACCAGGCCACGAGAGCAGATAATCTACTTCTTAGCTTTCTTGGTCATCACAACCAGCATTTCAGTGGTTCTTATATCCTACCTATTCATTATTCAGTCTGTTCTGAAGATTCGTACTGCAGGTGGAAAAACCAAGGCCATCTCCACCTGTGCTTCTCACATGACCGCAGTGGCTCTTTTCTTTGGGACACTCATATTTATTTACCTGAAAGGTAACATGGGCAAATCTCTTGGGGAAGACAAGATTGTGTCAATATTTTACACTGTCATAATCCCCATGCTAAACCCAATGATCTACAGCCTGAGAAACAAGGAAGTAAAGGAGGCTCTGAAAAAAGTTTTAAACAGGATGAAGGTTTCCCAAGAAAGGTAAAACTTGAGCTCCTTTAATCTAGAAGTTCCTGCAAATTATCCTCTGGGCTTTTGTGTTGCCACCTTAGCACATAAACCAGATCTCATAATTACAAAGACATATTGAGGCAGAACAACACAGATTTGGGTTCCTGTGCTTTTTTAGCTCTATAACCTTGAGCCAGAAATGCTCTGCTTCAGTTTTCTCAGAATGTATATGAAGATTCCAGAATATATATAAACCTAGGAGCATGTCACTCACATTATCGTCAGTAGAACTTTCTGTGTTGCTATGGTTAACGGTCAAGAGATCTTTAGCTAAGACCAAGAGAGATGGAATGCCAAAGGGTGTAGTAAATAATAACATCCTACAAAATGTAAGATTTTTCTTACCAGTCCTGAGTATTTTCTCAGTTACTTGAATTTTTCTTCTACTAAGGTCATTTTTGTATCGAGAATGATAACAAAACAAAAGCTCATTGTTTACATAGTGAGGGCAGTCAAATTCTTTGGTTGTGGGGCCGGCCTGGTGGCGCACTCGGTAGAGTGCGGCGCTTGGGAGCAGCGGTGCTCCCGCTGAGGGTTCAGATCCCATATAGAGACCGGTCTGCTCACTGGTTGAGCGCGGTGCGGGCGCGACACCGAGGGTTGCGATCCCGTTGCCGGTCGTGGTACGGGCGCGACACTGAGGGTTGCGATCCCGTTACCGGTCATGAAAAAAGACATAACGGGGAAAAAAAATTCTTTGGTTGTGGATAGTGGGTGGATATGAGCCTTGACCAAATTTGGAAAACTTTTTTTTTTTTTTTAACATTCATTCATCCAGTTGAGGCATTTGTCATGGAAAATACAAACAGCTCAACAGAAGAAGAAAAAATAGAGAGGAAAAAAGAGATGTGAACTGGGGAATGTTCAATTAGAATGTTAAGCCCACTTTCCAAGATGACACAGAGGGCAAAGACACTGTAGAATGGAAGAAAGATGTAATGATTTACATTAATTATTGGAAACAATTTGATCTTAATGTAGGGCTGAACTGAGTCCCATATATAACTTTGTGATTTTTCTTGGTCACCAAAGGTCAGAAGCTCTATTTTGTTTCTGAAGCGTTGTTCATGGACCATCTGCCTCAATTAATTCAAGTTATTTTCTATTTTTCAGTGATGAAAAACACTGTCTACTTTCATCTCCTCTAGGACATTTACTTTACCACGAGAATACAGATAACTATAAATCTGGCTGCCACCTTTAAATTACCTCCATGTCTGCTAGAAATATTACCTGGGAAACATCTCTACGGAGGCCCACAATCTTATTCATCAATTCAGCAAATATTTAATGATATCTACTATGTGTCTAATGCTCAAGATATAATAACAGATAAGATAGACATGGTTCCTCCTGCATGGAGATTAGAATCTAGGGCATAGATAGTCATTAAATCATTACAGTTAACCAATTTTTTTAAAAAAACAATTTTGGAAAGTGGACCAAAAGAAAAAGTACTGGGTATTGTTATGCTATATAATAGGGTTTTGATCTAGTTTGGTGAGGTCAGAAGAGGCTTCCCTGAGGAGGAACATTTAAGCAGAGGCCTAAGGAATAAGTATGCCATAGTCACGGGCTGGGGAGACTCTTCCAGACAGAAAGAGTTGCAAACACAAGGGCCCGTGAAATGGAATGCTGTGAGGAACTGAGAGAAGCCAGAGTGGCTGTAGCATGAATGAGGGGGCTTAGTGTGAGATGCAACTGGTGAATTCAGGTCACAGAAACCAGGTCACAGAGCCTTGCAGATTTGCTTAGGGACTTGTGTATTTTATTCCAAGAGCAGGGGTGAAATGGTCAGATCTGAATTTTAAAAAGATCCCTTTGGCTGCAGTGCAATGGGTGGAGAGGGGGCTGGTGGTGACGGAGATGAGCGAAGTAGACTCACTTTGTCTATAAAACAACAATTGGTATATCTCAGTGTATGGCATTTGATTTCCATGCAATACTTCATTCTAGACTACATGTTAGGCTGGAGAAAGTTAGCAGGTGCATGAACATGATGTTGGTTTAGGATTGATTCTTCATAAAATAGTGAAATTGGGGAAATATGTTTTTGGTGATGCTCACCTTTTCTTTTCTTTTTTTTTAATTGGTCATGAATATTCATGGAGTACAAAGCTGACCATCACCACTTGTGCCCAAGATGGAATGGCCAGATCAATACTGGCAGCATGCCCATTAACACAAATTGAGATTGTACCCGTGTCCCCCACCCAAATAATCCCCAACCTCCCTCCCCCTCCCCCTTTCCCCCACTCCACTCTGCAACCCTAGGTATGCTCTCCCTCTGCAAGTCCAACACACCACTGTGGTCTTTCTTTCCTTTCTCTCTTAGCTCCCACTTATGAGTGAGGACATGAGGTATTTCTCTCTCCATGCTTTGCTTATTTCACTCAACATAAGTTTCTCCAAGCTCTCCATGTTGTTGTGAATGGAAGAATTTCATTCTTTTTTATGGCTGAATAATATTCCATGGTGTATATACACCACATTTTCTTTATCCAGTCATCTGTCTATGGACATTTAGGTTGGTTCCATGTCTTGGCTATTGTAAACAGAGCTGCAATGAATATGGGAGTGCAAGTGTCCCTTTGACCTGATGATTCCCATTCCTTTGGGTACATACCCAGAAGTGGGATTGCTAGATCGTATGGAAGATCTATCTGTAGTTGTCTGAGAAACCTCCATACTGTTTTCCATAGTGGTCGAAGTAGACTCACTTTGTCTATAAAACAACAATTGGTATATCTCAGTGTATGGCATTTGATTTCCATGTAATACTTCATTCTAGACTACATGTTAGGCTGGAGAAAGTTAGCAGGTGCATGAACATGATGTATAACAGTCCTACCAACAGTGTAAGAATGTTGCCTTCTTTCCACATGCTCACCATTATTTGTTATTCTCTGTCTTTTTTATTATAGCCAGTCTAACTGGGTGAGGTGATATCTCAATGTAGTTTTAATTTGCATTTCCCTGATAATTAGTGATGTTGAGCATTTTTTCATGCACCTGTTGGCCATTTGTATGTCTTCCTTAGAAAAATGTCTATTCAGCTCCTTTGCCCATTTTTTAATTGGGTATTTGTTTTTTTTTTTCTTACTGTGTAATGAAACTAGACATGCACCTCTCACCCTATACCAAAATCAACTCAAAATGGATTAAAGACTTAAGTATAAGACCTGAAACTGTAAAACTACTAAGGGAAAAATAAAGGGGAAACACTTCGAGAATTAGGTCTGGGCACAGACTTTATGAACAAGAGCCCAAAAGCATAAGCAACAAAAGAAAAATGTAAACAAATGGGATTATATCAAACTAAAAAGCTTCTGCACAGCAAAGGGAACAATCAACAGAGAGAAATGACAACTTACAGCGTGGGAGGAAATTTTTGCAAACTATACATCCAACAAGGGATTAGTATCCAGAATATACAAGGATGCTCACCTTTTCTTCCATAAAGTGTGATCTTCCTCAGGTGTACACAAGTATACACCATCTGTTCCTTCATCAAATTTGTCATCAACTACTCTTTGTTAAGGGGTCAACGTATTGTCATTAACCTCCTACTATATGCCAGGCCATGTTAATGGACTTAAGAAACCATCTTCTTGTGTGCTTAAAGGCAGAAAGAACCTTCAATCAAAAAAAAAAAGAAATGGGCAAAATGCTAGACAATGGGTTTGCTATTTTGTCAGTAATGGGAACCCCTTCATACTCCTGCTAATTTCTTCTCTGTGGGTGGCAACCAATTCTGTCTATAAACGAGTGATCTTTGATACATGTACAGTATTCAATGTATATAAAATTGCTTCAGGTATGCACCGAGCGAACAAAAATAAAATAACGTTTTAGTGTGTTTTAGGGAACTTCCCCCTTTTTTAAAAAAAAAATTGAAACATAATTGATAATATATATTTGTGGGGTACAGAGTTGAATATCAAAACCTGTTTGCAATGTGTAATGATCAAAACAGGATAATTAGCACATTCATTACAAACATAATCATTCATTGTGTCCATTAACCAATTTCTCACTAACCCACCTCCCTCTTCCCCTTTCCCACCTCTAGTAACCACAGATGGAACTCCTTCTAATCAATGTGGAAGGCACTGGAGAAAATGACATTTATGTTTTATTGCCAATTAATAAACAAATGAAAGCATTAATAAATTACCTAATGTGTGTCAGGTTCTATGCAAAGAGTTTTCACTTATCTATTTTAAAGTTCTCATTCTTATTTATTTAAAAAATGTTTAATAAAGAAATACATTTTGGTCTTGAGTTGGGCGTGGCTCTCAGCTCCTCTACGGATGACTGGATAAGGAAAATGTGGTACATATACACAATGGAATACAACTCAGCTATAAAAAAGAATGAAATTCTGCCATTTGCAGCAACATGGATGAGAAAATTATAAGTGAAATAAACTGGGCACAGAAAGAGGAATATTGCATGTCCTTAATCATAAGTGGGAGATAAACAAAAGAAAAGAAAGAAAGAAAGAAAGAAACAACAATCACAGTAATACATTGAACTTTCAGAAGGAGAGAATAGAACTGTGGTTACTAGAGGTGGGAAAGGGGGAGGGGAAGGGAGATTAGCGAGAAATTGGTTAATGGACACAACGAATGATTATGTTTTGTAATGAATATGCTAATTATGCTGTTTTAATCAGCACACATTGTACCCAGGTATTGATATTCAACTCTGTACCCCACAAATATGTATAATCAATAATGATTCAATAAAAAATTTTGATCAGACAAATCAGACCATAAAAATCATTTTGATATATATAATTTTGTCTAGTAAAAGTGTCCTATACAAATTTAATTTTTAAAATTGACACGTATTGATTGTACATATTTAGGGGGTACAGAGTTATAGTTCACTACATGTGTACAATGTGTGAGGATGAAGTGAGGATAATTAGCATTATTCATTATTGCAAAACTTTACCATTTCTTTGTG